AAGTGAACCCGATACTTAGAATGTTTAACAAGAAGGTTGATGTACCAGACTGCGATTGCATTCTTTTCTCCAAAGGGGAATACCCAAAGTCTGGTATTCACACCAGCATACCGCTCAGAGAGCGATGGTGTCTGGAGCCACGTGGGTGATCACCCATGGTGGCGCTGTTTTCAAAAGGGATTTTTTGGTCAAAATGGGGATATTGGAAATGGGTTAATTCTTAAATTACGTTGTTTCGGAACAAGAAGAGCTTTGAGTTTTTCCAATATGAAGGAAAAACCAGCTTCTAACGCCACCTTTTTCGAGTAAAAGGGTCTCGGGATTCAGAGGTGAGTCGAATGTGAGAGGTAGTATAAAAAGAATTATTCAGCTGTAGCACACTCAGCGCTTAGTCGTCGTGTCACTCGAAGGAACTAAGAGTGCTGAGGTACCGCTAAGCATCCGAAGTCTAGACAGGAGCAATCGAGATGCCCCGGTAGGTTTTGAGGCAGTGGGGAAGAACACAAGTTAATATTCATCGCTTTAGCTGTACTCTAAAGTGATTGGTTTCCGGTTGGTGCTGGAGAAAGCTGAGCAGGCTTCTTTACCGTAGAATTTCTCTAAATTTTTCCAGTCACAGACTGCTAGGTTTTGCCTGTTGTAACTTAGTCAGCTTGTGTCAACGGACAACGGTGTATCTAGCGACGTCTGTACTTGGCCAAAGTTGGCGCCCGATCCCATTGAATATTTTTACTTGAACACACCAGAGGTCAGGATAAGTGTGCATGTGTGTTTCCACCAAAAGATTAGTTTATCGTGTTGACACAGCATTGATAACACGATATCTGGTTTCGCTAGACAATAGAAAACGGCGGACTGTAAGGTCGGCTTCCAAAGGCAGATTGGTATGTGATACATTCTTAGCCCGTCCGCGTGACTGTCGGCATACTTGCGACGTTTTGGGTTGAATCGCAGTGTTGAAAAAAAAAACAGGAAACGCACAAGCCCCATCATACCATCGTTATCATCTATGAAGCCCAGCTCAGCTATGTCAGGTGTTTGCGTTATGAGGTGGAGAACCAATGTGCTATTGTAAAACATTTCTCACACGTGTTTTGAGACAGTCATTGCTGATTCTATGCCAATCGGAATTGATCTCTCCTTTTTGCTGGTCATCCTATGGGGCGACCGTCTGAGGGTTTCAATCTTAACTTGTCTCTTTTGGGAGACGCCATTTCCCGGAAGGCGTAAATGTCGATGAGAGCTCCAATGGATCAAGCGAAAACGGCTTTTTGTGATATGTGTCTTCTTCTAAGGTGGGACGTATCAAGTATCCAGACTCTCAAGCTTTGTTAGCTCTTCGCAATCACTAAAATTTTCGACGGGCGAAGGAATCAATTTGCATGCTGCGAAATCCTCAAACGACATACCAGTGTGGGGGCTCAGGTTTTGTAGCAATTTACAGAAAATTCAATCATGGTTGTTATTTCAGGTGTCCTCCCCTGATGAAGCAGTCCTTAGGAAAAAGTAATCGTCAAAATAAGTAACTTTTGTTTGACCCCTGAAGCGTATTTCAGCGGTAAACCGCAAGTGGTTTAACTTAAGGGTGGGTTGTACAGAGGAAATGGTTGTAGCAGCTGTGCGCCATCCAGGTGAATATCCTGTTACAGGACTTCCGTTCACCTTGGGAAACAGTTTCACAATTAATGACGTGTCTCATTTCTGTAAATACATCAAATTCCAGTCTTTATTAGGCCTTTTCCGGTCTTCATCAGGGGTTTTGTTCTGTGAAGACACGGTAGTTTTAGCTGGGTAGCTTTCCAAATTTCAAACCAAATCATGTTTGACCGGTTTCAAGTTATTGGGAAGTGGCCTATCATGGACAGGGGAGCATATTGTGGAGAAGCACTGTTATCGGGCAGTCGATCGTGGGTTAGGTCACCAAATATAGGGATTCAAATAAAAATAATTGTTCAGCTGTGATACGCTTTCGATGCCTAGCCTTCATGCCACCCGGCAGAAGCCAAGTTACCTAAGCCTAGTCAAGAGCAACTGGGATGTCAGGGATGAGTTAGAACCTCGGACCTTCCGGTCAATAGGTTTGCTCCTTAGCCAGTGAGCTAACTCGAGCTCACCACCTGTTGGTGAGTAGGCTGTACTCTTCCTAAGATGTTTTGTCTAGTGGTGTCTCAGTTATGCTTAGCTGTACGAGGGAATTTTTCAGGACTTTCCTTCCCTCGGGAGCTCTTTCTTGGGGGACGACTGTACCGCCCTTCGGTGCAAAGTACCCGCAGCCCACTAACCGTATGATTCTTCCACGCACAAGACAGACGCATGGTTGTTAGTCGAGTAGATTGACTAATCCTTCACTGAGTTATTTCTGTTTGCTGCCGATGCGCAGTATCATGGCGAATAGCTAAACGATGTGATTCATGAAGGAAATACGACCCCCGATTCTCTTGTCATTAATCGCTACACTGTTGAGAAACACTTCCGCGATGTCAGTGACGTTCATGCTATCGGGTTTTATCCGGTTTGTTTGATTGAGTGTTGGAGATGTAGGCTCATGGCTATACGGCAGTGAAACATCAGTGTTCTCTGGTTCTGCTGTCAATGAAGGTGATGAGTGGGAGACACTAAAGCTTGTCCTACATTCTTGGTTCTGTTTCGCGAATAGTCTATTTTAAAGTCAAAATATTCATAATTCGACAGTAGCACTTAGCAACGGTGGCCCGAGGGTCAAATAATACAGCAGCAATCCTCATAACACGAGTGGCATGTTGCCTTTTTCGATGCGAATTTATTCCGTGTTGTTGTGATTTTCTGATTCCGAAGCCATCGTATTAGTTACATCCATTCTCCCCATGTATTTCGATTCTCTATGTATGTCAGACGAATCATCAGCCACTAGGAGAGTGAGACTCTTTTGGAAAATTATTGATCTTTTCGTGAGCGATTCCTATTAGTTCATCGCGAGTTTTATCTTCCACCCACGTTCCATTCATCCCATTGGCACTTGGGATCATAATGGAATAGTCTGCCTAGTCGTGATCACGTTCTTCTTTATCTAAAGCTTATTGATTTGTTGTAATGTTTCTTTAAACTTAGCAGTGTTATTTAGGAACCTGTGAACGAGAATGTATCAATAGATGGACCTCTTCTTCATCCTTAACCCACAATTGTATCAAGCTTATTTTCACGAATAATTAACTGATGTTCCTCATTGTTGACAGCAACACACTGGCAATATATATATTGGCTCCTGACTGCTATAAAACCATCAGAAAACAATACCCTAGCAAGAGTGAGAAGAGAGTGAGGACTCAGTGTAGCAACTGTTGTCTCTAGGGTTAAACTTCAAGAGCAAGGTTGCTTGACCTTCGAATAGCCCAGCATCAAGTTAGGATAAAACGCAGTCATCGAGATAAACCCAAGGTCCGTTTCGAACCCTACCCAATGCAAGTCTAGCGCACAGTGACGGACAAACCTTAGCTAAGCAGTCCTGCAAGGAATTAACAGTGTTCGTTACTAAGATCAGTTACGTACCGTGTCCTTCAGAGTTTCTGGCCAGGAGTAAGGGGTGTGACACTGACCATGTCGTGAAGGTGTTAAATAATTCCTCATCCTACTTGGCAACAGTCAGTCTCTTTTTAAACCGGAACTTGAATGTCGAAAAGCTTCACTGTGCCCTGCAAGTCACTCGAATTGTAAATGCCGTGAAACAGTGTCAGTGTCCGGCAACTATGTATGCTCCCTTTACGAGGATTTCACATCATTTTCATTCAGAATATATACTTAGCTCATGTTTTCACTTCGACGGGTTACTTTTTTAAACGTTCAAATGGTAGCGTGATGCGAGCCAGCCTTTAGAACCAACGACAGGATTCAACATTCCATTTTGTGCACGGGAGCTGTTTGTGGGATTTGAAATTTTCCCTTTTAACCCAGTTTTTGAAAAAGGCTTGCCCGATTTCTTACTGTATTGTATGAGACTAGTCATTTACATGCGGAGTTCTCTACCTAGAATGCCCATACGAAGAGATTTCAAAATATAATATCAGCGGAAGTATCTCTTATTAGGGGAAGCGGCTAACACTGACAACACCATTGTCTATTCCACAAGGGCTCTCGTAATGGTCGCGATATTTTTCTCACCCGAAGTCGTTACTTCATCTCGAAGGTATGCTTCAAAGTGTGCTTCAAGTACTGCTCATGTGCCTCCTTATTTTGTTGTAGGCGGATTGACGCGTCTAGAATGGGAGAAACGGATCAAAATATTACCTTATAGGTAGCCCATGTTATTGACCACTGTTAATGTCTCCACAGTGTAACCGTTCTAAAGCAAAGCAACCGTGACGATCAAAATGCACCTTGTAATTTCTGTATGGACTCCCTGTCACGAACTCATTATCTTGCTCCCACCGATCACATCAACCCTTACATTCACGTGGGGGCGAGATGGATCAAGTGATTAGAGCGCAAATTTACTGACTGGAAGGTCCGTGATTCGACCTCGACCTCTGCCTCTCGACTTCCCGTGTCTAGGCTTGGGCAACCTGGAAGTATCCCAGCCCTCGTGCCTCTGTGTGGCCTGGCAGCTAGGCACCGAAAGGGTGCTACATCCAAACGATTATTATTTTTTTACATTCACGTCTAGTTAAGCTCAGTCAACGCATTTCAATCATACACAATGGTCACCTAAGCCAGTGAAGCTTCGATTGTTTCGTGTGAGCAAATTATCACTCACTTAAATTATTTGTTTTTATAAGCATGAACTGGATGGCAGCAGGGAGTTCGTATGTGCCACGGCATTGTACATCACGGCCAAATAGGGATCCAAAGAAATTTGACATTCAGATGATAGGTGGTAGACTGTCCGATTATTCTGATTCCTACGTAAAGTAAGCAGCTACGAACACTGTGAACTATTGAGCTTGGCTGTCGCTTACGTCCATGTGATCTCAGGTTGCTGAAAAACCTCGTTCTGTGGTCGGAGAAACATCCCTGTTCGAGGTTATCAGTTAAGTCATCGTTGTATCAACCGGAAGAACCTTGAGTCAACTTATTTGTAAGAAAATCTGTCTGATCCGGCTTGCAGTGTGCTACTTTCAGCAATAAACATGAGGTGCTACTGGAGTCCCAATGCCTATTTTTTCAGCGCAGTGTCATCAACTGAGTCAGGTACTCAGTTGTCCCGGAAATCAGTTTACTGTTCCACGTCGTCAAGTGGTCCACCTTTGAACTTTCTTCCAACCGTTTAATTGGCTGCTCTTATGTGTGTCATCGCTTAAAGAACGTTATCTATGGTTAGGCGGCTGGCATACATTCTCCGACAGACCAATCTCAACATATTCGTCAATTGTCAATTGTGTTAGGTTGAACACAACCTAACATTAAGATGATTAAATTCCTCATTTGAACTGCGTGCCCGGTTTTGAACTGGTTGACGGAAGCTGAAATCACCGACATTCTAGTTGTTCTTCCATACAGATTCATCTTAAAGACAGTCTGCTTGATAAATGGAGCTATTAGCTAATGCGAAATGGCAATTGCGCAGGAACTCACCGATACTATTAACAGAAAGAATAGTTTTGTATGCCGTCGTGAAACTTAAGATGACATTTTTGGAGAAATTAGTCCACTCTACACTTCCCAATACGACCGGGGATTGCATGAACTGAGGCGCACACCGCCTGCGAAGGTACTTCCAAGAAACAGCAAGTGCAAATTCCCGTGGTTTCATCAAATTTCCCTGGTACTATACCACTCATGGGTACTTCATAAATGCTGTACTGTCGCTGCTCAGTATCCCTGACCTCTTTTTATTGAACTCACTTTGGAGGCTTGAGAACATCTTACTTCCTACGACGTGCTCCTCTAAGGACCAGAGGCAAGCTAAAATTGCCTCTTAAACACCCTGGTTCACAGCAGCTAAGCAGATTCCAGATACCATACAGAAGGGTTTTTCCATTTTCCGATTTCTGGAAAAAGGGAGGTCCGTGTTCTGAGTGTTTTGCTCATCTGGAGTTTTGCCCATCAGATGAATAGTTCCCGGAACCGGAACAAAGTAACCTGTCTCCCAGTTGATGGTTGTAGTAGCGGAGACA